TTTCTTAAAGAGAAAAGAAGCTATACTTACCTCTTGGACACCGCATATACCTATGAAAGGATTCTCTGTGCCGTGTCGTCATTATAGAGTAAATTAAGAAAGCATTACTCTGTAACAACGTCATTATCATATATAAATAATATATATTTATTTACAAATCTTTTTTAATAGCAAAAAATTATTATTCCAGCATATACTTTGGATACACAAAGTAACTAATCAATTAGTTAATCAATTGATTAGTTGATTAATTGACTAATCGATTAGTCAATTAGTCAACTAATCAATTAGTCAACTAATCGATTAGTTGAAATAAAATCGATTAATTGATTAGTTGGGTAAAATGTGTTGTCAACTAATCGATTGGAAAAATTTTGTCGATTTGTAGCACTAGATCGGGTATATAAGAGGTCAATACTACTGAAATGTTTGAGTTGGCAATTGGCAGTAGTACATTTAAAAAGCGAACCAAGTGGAGAAAAGATTATATCAGAGAGCTTATACTAAATGACGTTGTGGTGGATCTGTTAGATTTGGAGATATCAAGGAAGAATATAAACCTAGTACTAGGCAGTTATATGGCAATCATAGAAAGTAGCTTTCTTGATGAGATCTGGCAAATTAGATGTAAAGTAGTTGCAGAATGGGAGAAAGAGAACAGTATTGATACATCAATGAAGAGAAGCAACCGAAAGAAGCCAGGTATCAAAGGTACTAGTAAGAACACAATATCAAAAGTAAGGGAAAGCAGGAATATTGGTGAATCGAGTAGGGTAGGTAAAGTAGTAGGTATTGAGAAAGATGCTGAAGTTGTAAGGTTATTCAAGATAGGTGTTGATGAATGGGTTAAGAATGGTTCAACTCCCTTTTGGTTTAGTTTTTGATAGAGCTAACAAGGTCTTTCAACCCACTTGTGGGTTGGTGCAACAAGTCACATCTGGGCGCACATGATGTAGCTGGGTGATGCCAGGCTTATAATTGTTAATTAGATATTATTAGAAATCTTTAAACTTTGTTTTTAGTCTAGTAGTAATATAATTTGTATTTGAGCACCAACAAAACTATCAAAGAATTAAAAAAAAAAAAATTTTATCATATGAGTGAAAATTTTTAATATAATATTGTATTATTAAAATTCAAATCACTAAAATCAAAATTCTGTTGTTTTTTGGTTACTCTACTTTATTTATGAATATATAAAAACTGATATAACTGATAAGTAACCCATAAGCAATTCATAAGTAATTTTACAATCACTTTTAATCCTAGTAATTATTCAATTTACAAAAATATATTGAATCTATTCATATGATTCGTATGGGTAAAAATTTGCAGTTGGAACATTGTGATTATTAAAATCAAATGTGATTTAAATTACTATATAAAAAATAATAAGAGCTCGTAAATTATCTAAAAACCCATAAAGTAATAAAAATTATGAAAACTATAAATTTTCGTCTATGCCGAAATTACAAACTTAATCGATTAGCTGAAAAATTATTCAAGGATCAGTAGGGATTTGATCCTTAAATCACATGAAAACACTGAATTGAATAACAACTCTAGTGTCACTACAAAAAAATGGTAGCCAGATTTTTTGTCAGCTTATATGTATATGACTTCGAATAATAGTTGCCGAATAAAATTTTGTTTTGCAATTAGTTAAATTTTTATTAAAAACTTTCGAATATAGCATATAACAAATGTTATGTATATTTTTATTTCAATTATTTCACATTGTAAAAAGTAAAATTATACCAATTACAAATAATTTAAAGTAACAAATCATTACTAAACATAGTTTCTACGTTAAATGTATAGTTTTTTTTTTGATTATTATAATTTGACTAAATATATCTATTTCTAGTTGTTTGCCAGCAAAAATAAAATACTTAAAAGTTCATTCCCAATACATCGTATTGTTATTAAAGTTTTGCTATGTTTTTGGCATCGTTCTTCGGTTATTTAATAATAAAATATCATCGTTCATCTTTTCCAGTAATTTAAAATTTGGTTGAACATTTTTCAACCACAAATGTCTTTTTGGCTTGCTATGAGATTCTTCTAAAAGCTCCTTGGTCTTAAATGCAATTAAGTTTTTAAAAAATATAACTAAATTTTTGAAAAATTTAAAGTAACAATTAATAATAAAACTTATATACCTTATCTAAAATTTTATGCAAATATGCCAATTCTGATTCATATATATCCTGTTTATCATCGCTGCCTTCAATAACATAGTTATCTTTATATGCAATAAGTGAGCCTTGAGTCAACGGAAGAGTTAAATTTTCATTACTTTGATTTGTGAAATTTATATAAATAATCATGCTTGATGTGGTGCCAATGCGGTTCAATGATCATTGTTGTTTTAATATGATAAATATTTATATTAGCTAATCTGGCCCATAATATCCATTTTTTTTTTTGAATACCACTTCTTCCAAAGATATATCCACAACTGAAGTAGGTTGTTGTATTTGCAAAATTGAAAAATTTCATTAACACATTCCTTCCAAATCTCATTTGCATTTGTAATGAAACTGCCATCAGATTTTGGTAGTAATATATGTCTTCTTGAATAATTTTCTATAAACTCAAGTACTGTTTTGCGTAAATTTAGAAAGCAAAATATTTCTGAATTAGTATTATCTACAATTCCCCAATTTGGGTCTATCATTAAACATTCTTTATGTGCAATTTTGGGGTCATAAGTATAGTATACGCTTTTCTTATTTGAAGCCAACCGTTGTTTGATAGCATGACATACATGCTACATATATAATTGTATATGAGCTTCTGGCCAAATGGTTTGTGCTGCATTTATTTCAGAAAAATCCTTATCAACTAAAATTAAAGGAAAATATTTCAAATGCTAATTCTTTAAAGCTTGCATTCAACATGTAAGAGTTTCCATTATATCCTGGTTTTTTCCAGCTGAAATTAATAAATAACTAAAAGGAAACCAAGTACCATCAATTATGCCCATAAGTGTATATAATTCCCATGATAAATTGTTTGTACTATAAGTTGCATCAATTACTATTGCATCTAATTTATTATAAATTAATTGTTGAAATGATTTAGTTAAAAATCCAAGTGCTGGTACAGATAAATTAAAATGATTTAATATAATTTGTAAATTAAATTCTTCTAATAAAAGTTTTGCAAATAATAAAGGATCTGAATATCAACTATATATCTTCTGGGATTCTACTGACCACCAATAATAGGTCTGTTGAATAGATATACTTTCGAATTCATTAATTTGATTTTCACGAATCTGATAACAAATTTCAGAAGGAGAACAATAAATATTATCTTTGATGAATTGTTTAATTCAGAAGATGTTTCTACATGACTTGGCCATGGATGCAGCATCTTATAAGAATATTTGACTGCAATTACATCTAATTCTAAAAAAATCTCTATACTTATAATCCCTTCACAATTGTATCTTTCTAAAAAGGTAGGTGTATCTTTTTGTTTCTCAAAAACTGAGTGTTTAGCTTAACATTTACCAAGTTTAATTCGGCAATTGCAATAGTATTTTAAAAGGAAAGAATTTTTTTTTTTGATTCTTACAATGGTAAACCTATGAGTATCTATCACCTTCTGAGATCAATTGAATGATGTGATGACCAAATTCATAGTTAATATTTTCTTTGGATGTTTCTTTTTCTAAAAGAAAATCCTGAAAAAATGAAAGCTCAATATTTAAATTAATGTTTAACTCCTCACTTTCACCTTTATAAAAATCATTGGTATCATTTAAAGAAGTTAAAGAGTTATACATGGCTTCAGTAATATTCATATAATTAATCGTTGATTTAAGCGAAACTCTATTTTTTAAACGAGTTGTTTTAAGTTTATTTCAACAGTTTGAATATTTTTTTACAACGAAACCATTTTTGTTCAGAAATTTATCATAATTTTTAGGTATGTAACACCCATTACAGGTTTTATTTTGTGAAGTTGACATAGTGAATGTTTGCAAAATTAAAAGAGAAGCTCAAATTATTATTATTATTGTTGTTAAGCTTACTATAATTTACTATTAAACATCACTAAGCTTACTAATTAATATGTCACTAATTAATTTACTATTAAATGTCAGCGATTTCAATATTATTATGCATAATACATAATTTTACTAACAATCAGTATCGAAACAATACCAAACTGATAGAAAATCTGGCTACCATTTTTTTGTAGCGATGCTATATAAGCTTGAATTGAATTGTTATAACAATACAAAATTAATTTTGATTGGACAATTCAAGATCTGATACTTCTATAAAATGTATTATGTTTTTATGTGATTTAAGGACCAAATCCAGGACTGTCTTTTTAGATCCTAGGATCAGACCGGCTCAGGTAAATCACACAAATATTGTCCAATTAATTCGCTATGAACATTAATGTACTGTATAAAAACTTTTAATTCAAAAAAACAATGTGTGTTATTGTAACAAGTGTCTCTGGTTCACTAGGTCGCGCTATATACAAAACATTTCATAAAGCTGGCTATGAAGCTAAAGTTTTATATTATACTCAGCAGCTTTTTATATAGTATAGTGACTGGCTTTGCTAAAAGCTGTATAAAAAATGAGTTGAGACAGATTAGAATTTTATGTTCTAATAGTTCTGGTATTAATTGTTATACAATATATTTCCTAAATTATAATTTATATTTATAAATATAAATACATTCATAGTTTGATTTAACCGACAAAGATAAATTGGAATCTCTTATTTAAGAATTAAAACCTGACAGTTAGTATAACTATTTCAAGTGTACTTTCTTATTTATAACATGTATTAATTATACAAACTTAGTGATAATCAATATTGCCACCAAGCAAAGACCTATTGTCATGAAAAAAAATCATAAGCAACTTTCAAAATATTCTTAATTTTAATTAGATTTATCTACTCTACTCTTTGAAATGTTTCACATACTTTCAGTACTTTTTATAGCTCAATATCAATGTTTCAGCTCACATTGCCTCATTGTCCAAAGTCTACAATGTTTTATTCATTTATATTTTCTTAGATTATATATTTGATGGAAAAAATTCTCCTTATGATGTGAACAATAAGCCAAATCCATTGAATTTTTATAGTAATTCCTTTAAAATTATCTTAATCTTCATTCCTTCACAATAATTACGAATAATTATTCTATATAGGAGAAACCAAATACAAAAGTGAACTTGCTATACAAAGTGCAAATCAACAAGCAGTGATTTTATGTGTGCCAATATTGTAATTAGAACTTTTCAAGATAATCTTTTATTTGTTTCTGCTTGGTTTAGTGATGCTTTACAAATTCTTGGTCTTATTAAGTACAGTTAGGTAGAATTTTCAGAGTAATTTTCAGTTAATATCTTGGTGGATTTTGTTAAGATTATTATTAACAATAAAATGGAAACAAATATCATTAATCATTATGACTAAATATATTTTCAAATAGAATTTATCAAAAAATGTTGAGATAGATCACTACACAATTAGATATCCTATTAATAATAAAGAAAAAAATAAGCAAACTCTCATTTATGAGTAATTTATATATCTAAACCTTATGCATCTGTATTGTTTTTTTAATTTACTATCTTGATAGTTCGGGACATAGCAAGGGTTATTAAAAATATCTCTGGTAAGTGCATATAACCTTGGTTATATTATTTTTATATTAAATTTTACTCAATTTATATAATAGAAAAACATGTTGATTAGCATATTCCAATTTATATATTAGTAAAACTTTACAAAATATTAAATATGTAGTAAATGATAAACTAAATTCTTCTCTGAAATAAATTTTATTATATATTAATAATCCTTAAATTTTTATTTCTAAAATTTTTTCAAAAGTTTTACAAGTTCTAATTAATTATATTAAACCAATAAATTATGTACTTGCAGCTGCAACTGGTAAATAAGTTTATTTGGTTAAATTTAAATTAGTTTAGTTAGTTAAAAATTAATTTAAATCTTTTTTATTTGATTTTTCACAGTAAAGCATCTATATAATTGTTATTTGTCAAATAAATCTAGAAATTAATATAAACTGTATTGAATTTGAAGATTGGTGAAAAAATTATTTAATTGGTAATTCACCAGTTAACCAGAGAGTGATCATAGAAAAACATGATGTGGATCATTTATAAAAATTGAGGGTTTTTGAATATGGTGTGTGTATTTAAAATTTTTTTATTATTAATTATTTTTCTGGTTTAAACCTTTTGTAGAGCTTGTTAAAATGTATCTAATAATAGTTAAATCATCTAAATTGGCCTGGTAGATGCTGAGATATCTTTAAAAAACATTTAACTATGTAAATTTTTTTGTATTGTTTACAAAGAAGTTTATATAGTTAAATAAAAATTTTTTAAAGATATCTTAGTATTTACCAGGCCAATTTAGATGATTTAACCATTATTAAATGCATCTTAACAAGCTCTATAAAGTTTTTTTTTAATTCAGCAGTCTTGCTAATACTGTTTATTAGATTTACGCTAAAGTATTTTTTGTTACAAATATTATAAGTATAGTTACAACTATCTAATGTTAATTACTAGTATTAGCTTACCTAGTTACTAATTTAAGTATCTATGTACAACCTGCAATATGAGATTTTATCTTCTTATAAACTGTTTTGCAATTAGACCGATTTCTAAATCACCGGATAGTTTCCAGACCTATTGTATTATAGTGTTCAAAGACAAGCCGGCTTATCACGGCTTGCTGCGGCTTAATGCGGCTTATTACGTGATAAATTCGAATTTATCGCCAAGCCATACGATAATCGCGAAGATATCACGTGATAAATTCGAAGATATCACATGGCTTGGTGATAAATTCGAATTTATCACGTGACAAGCTATATTAAGCCGCAGCAAGCCGTGATAAGCCGGCTTATCTTTGAACACTATTGTATTATATATATCTTGCTTATATACTACTGTACAATGTTCACTAACCAACTTCTACTTCTCATTACTTATCATGTTACCTTTAATTTGTTTCTTGTATTACTTTTATATTGGTATCTTTCATATAGATGCTCTTCTTATTTCAGTTTGATGTTTCTAAAGGAGCTACTTTAAGTCTTAATCTGTATTTCAAGCCAAATGCTGCTATTGTCATAAGACCTGTATCTCAAGTCACCTGCTGCTGCCATTAGAGAAGTTATTTTATATTAATCTAGGTATTCATGTTGTATATCACCAAATTAGACTACTACTTCTTTTATGTACTCCCTATTAGTATAGTATTACAAAAGTTTAAATCTTTAGAACGGAAGTTAAGTATCTTATTTAAT